GATCGGAGTTCGCCACCCCTGGTTTATAGCATGATTTGTGAAAATTTAACTATACTGAATGACATATCATTGACTTCTTCATGGCTAGTGTAGCGAATCAGCTCATGGGGAAATATGAATAATTAATCATAACTAGTTATAATTAATTATAAATATTTAGATCCACTGTAGATATTTACTTGACCTCTCAGGGTCAACTGTCTGTCAATTCTAAGAACGTTAATTCCCTGGTTAAGGGAAATAATTTTCTTACTGTACAACTCTACACAGAGCTCCTGCCTGAATGTATTAACGGTGTAAATATCAAAGATTTTTACAGTGCATTTCAATGAACTGCTACAGCCCCTGGGGTTCTACCTTCACACGTGATTCTCCGTCCAGGGCAATCAGTACATATCCTGCCCTAGTGTGAGGAAGGGCAGAGGCAGGTCTTTGATTCAGCCCTTCTTCTGAGCACAGGAGGCTCTTTATCTCCTGAATGTGAGCTTATTATGTTACAGCTTCTTTTGTCGAAGAAAGGAGCTCAATCTCTAAGTTATTTATTTTGGTGCACAGATGAAGGCCTTTGTTTTTTTGGAAAGCTCTCTTTCCAAAATTGATTATTAAAGGTGGGGTAAGCGATTTTTCAAAAACGCTTTAGAAAACAGATTCGGGCCGAATAGCAAAACAAACTTGTAACCAATCAGCAGTGTCTACTCATGATGTGGAGGAGAGAGAGTTCAGTGCGCAGGACGGACATTAGCTGAGCCGAGCGACAGAAAGATAGAGATGGCGGATAAAAAACAAAAGAGGAAAACGTCTGCGGAACAAACGAAGGCTTAAGGCAGTAAGTAGGACCCATGTAAATATCGAATCAGCTTTCCAGCGCTGGAGAGAACTCAAGGAGCGGAAGGCCTGCGATCGGACGCTGAGGTTGCTTTGTTTCTTCTCGATAGGTGAGTAACACCGTGTCTGCGCCGCAACAGCTAAAGTCTGTCTAGTACACTGGACGCGACAAAGCGACTGTTGAAAATCATTTGAAATTTGTGTCAATACGTCATCAATAGAACGCAGCAGCAGTTTTCTGTCGGGGATTTGTCGTATCGTGTCGCGCCGCATCCAGTGTAGACTAGGCATGGACCGATTACCGGTTTCAAGGTATTCCGCGATTTGAAAATTTCACGGTTTCAAACCCGCTAATATTTTCCGTTATACCGTTCCTGCGGTATGCGCTGTTTATCATGTCTCCTCAAAGACTGAAAATGTAGGAATCCCTCAGGTTGAGTGCAGTGTAGAGAGTAACACGACCCTAAATATTCTAGGGACTGTTCCTAATATTCTGTATGTTGCTCAAAAACAAAATATATTGTGTTCAGCAGAATTTTTTTTAATTTTTTTTACTCAGTCATTTAAAAATAACACATTTTAGAGCTGTAAGGACAATACTGTGAAACCGTGATATTTTTGCTTAAAGGCCGTTTCACACTGATGCGAAAAAGCGAGGCGAATCGCCGACGATCGTTGCTTTCACACCGAGCACGAAATGATTGATCACCTTCTGCTAAATCACGCCTGCACGCTAGGTGGTGCCGACCATTAATGCATTTTTACTCCGATATGTATCTCATATATGGATTTAACATCGTCCACTGCTCAATATACAGCATTAAATATAGCTAAATAAAGTTTGGTTCTACGCCAGAAACACAAACTATCTATAATGCTTACAAGAAAACATCTTAAAATATAACTATAAGTACAATAAGCATCAAGCCACATTTGAAAATTTATGTGATTATTGTTTTTGCTTAAAACCCTTTATAAACCATCATCGAGTGCTTGTAATAACTTCCGATTGTGATCTATAGTTGATTTTGATTCTATAATAGGCAGACATGCATTCTTTGTAGGCAAGAAAACACATACAGAAAATATATCGTCATAATCATGTCTATTTGCTTTCATGTGATGTGTAGAAAAATGTCACTCCTTTTTTTAAACACGGAAGATCTAGCGAGTTAACGCGCTCTGACTCATAACACTTGCGAACATGCGAACATGGAAGAAAACGGACACTCCAGATCACATAATTCAATAGAATTTAGAAATGATATTAAGAACATGTGAAAATAAATCTGTTCTCAGATACCAAAGATTACAGGAACTCGGCATCCACTCTCTTCTCTCTACTGGGATACTCTTCTTCGGTGTTTGTTTACACTGATTTTCGAAGCAGCGCCACCACTCGTGCAACAGTAGCTGCTCTGAGCACGTGATCTAAGCTCAAATCTGATTGGACGGCCCGTTTCATCGTGGAGCGACGGGGAAAAAAATCGACACACAGGACGAAAAAAAAATCCTCGCCTGGTGTGAATAGCCTCATAGGGATCCATTGTTTCGATTCAAAAGCGTAATCGCGACGAACATTCGCGCTGAATTTTCACTTTCAGTGTGAAAAGGCCTTAAGGTTATCATACCGTCAAAATCTCATACCGGCCCATGCCTAGTGTAGACCATAGATATGTATATATATCTATGGTGTAGACAGCATCACTGATTATAATGAGTTCTATAGTATTTTGTCATGTCGCGCCACTCGCGTCCAGTGTAGACATGGTGTAACATTGGTTTTGCTTTGTTTCACAGAACTAATCGCCTGGGTTGCGTACGTATGTGTGGGGTGGAGCTATCAAAATAGGGGCGAGACACTTTTAGGGTAGGGGTGTGTTTGTTTTGGTGATTTCAAATGTCAACATTGGCTACCAGAAATCCCTTACCCCACCTTTAAGTGCCGGCGATGCAGTGTTGCCAGATATTGATACTAAAACAAACAAAAAACTGAAAATAAATAAAAATAAACTGAAATTATTTCCAATCTTTTGCAAATAAGATAAGATAAAGATATCGCTGACTCTAAACGGCAACTTCCTACTTTATTAACTTTCTGAAGTGTTAAATTAAGTGGAAAAGACAAGTCCAAACACGCTTATAATAGCTGGATCTATTATAGCTGCGCCCGCACCCTCACTCACAACTCTCTCAAGCCTCGTTCACTCCGCCAGCGTCTCGCAGCGATCATTTTCATACCAGGAATGCTAAACATTCTTGCAAACTGTCTAAACTGAATTATACATGTCATGCAGGCATTCATATGAGGAGTTTAACAGCAAATTAGTCATTCAAAGAACTAATTTTATGTTTGAACATGAAACATTTACCGAGGTCCGGACCTCGGTGGCCTCATAGCTGGTAACGGGCCTGGCTACTGGCCGCAGAGGAACCCAACTGGGTTGCCTGATATAAAGAGACGTAATCCCCGACACAGAGCTTCACACTTGTGCAATACGGAATTATAATTAGGCTATGTTACTTATTTTTGTCAACCTGTCTACCATGTGCACGCGCTCTCTCTTTGCTGTGAATAAAAGCGCCAGCTTTCTGAAAACACAGGTAAGTTTCCAGTTTAGCGATCTCCACTTCGATATTCTATTCTCAGAAAAGTCTAATTCATCAAGTGTTCATTTACGAGAGAGAGTGTGTGTATTTAAGAATTGCCTCTGTTTTTGCCACGTTTCTCTATTAACAGTGAAGCGGTGTCTTTAAATACTTCAGAAACGATGTTACCAACTCTTTACTGAGAAAGATAGTGTAACTCTTTAGCGGTGAAGCTCTTTTATTGATGAAATTGCGGGGCAGCATTGAGTAAAATAGAGACTGAATGTGTGCGTGTGAGCTACAGTAAAGACAGCGCATTAGTTAAGAACGCTTCTAATTTTTGTTTTTATTTTTTTAAACGTAGAGAGTGTGCAATGATAACCTACCAGCAATGTAAGGTGATATTATTAATATAATAGAATGAGTATATTACAGTATATATTAGAACGAGCACATCATTATTTACGGGCTTAAAACAAGATGCAAACAATTAGAATATTGTACCTGGTGGGGAGTGCCCAATTTTAACATGAAACTATGCCATTACCTGTATTTGTTATACTGTGGTACAGTTATGGAGGCCGTTCATAATGCAGAGGTCAACTGCCTGCTCTGCCTATAGTTAGCAATGGCCCTACAGCAGTGCTATTCAATTTGGCGGCCCGAGGGAAGAGTACACGCAGGTTGCACGTCTTGAATTGTTTTTGCACAACAATTAGTTTTTTTAATTAGTTTGTCCACAAGGTGGCATCACTGGCCCAGGCCGTTATTTCACAACCGGAAATGAAAAGGAAGAGACGGAACAACAACTTTCCGGAGACCGCAAATAAATTAAAAGTTATATTTTTTCAGAGCCTACTAAATGTTAAAAATAATGTCTTGAAATTATACTGTAATGTTGAATGGCTATAATTAATGGCTAAAATTGAGGTGAAAATACATTTAATAGAGACATCAGTAGCAGTATTGGTATCAAAAATACTGGCCTTTGTTAATAGGCTACTTTGTAAAGAGAAGCCATTAAACATTTAAAATATACCACCTTTAGGTTGTTTCTACGTTAATTTGGAGGTTCAATGTGAAATTATGACAATATATTTATGCTCCAGAACATTATGTATTTAATTTTTATTTAAATAATTTTGAAAATAATGCTTTTAAAAACAAAATGATTTTTTAAAATAATTGGCTTTAACTTTAGTACAATAACAATAAAAAAGCCCGTTTAATTTGGCAAACAACATGTTGTCTTTATAATTTCCTCATACAATATAAATAGGATTTTGTACATGAAAACATATAGGTGCTTTTATACTGACCTTGCCAGGAATCATCATATTTTGAGGTTTTCGGCTTCAAAATGTTTGAAAACTTTATCTAAAAAGTATTCTGCTGATTCACCTTTTTAGCTCATTAGTCTGCACTAATATGGTGTGTCAGCTTAGTAAAACACTTAAAAAGTGCCACAGTGGTACTAAAACGTGTCACAACACACCCTGTTAGACATGTGCAAAGTTCACTTACGTATTGATGTTTTCTCTTTGATATCAGTATACCCTCCATCTCAGAAGACAGGGCACGTGAAGCTTTCGCAACGTACGTCTCCAATAAGTGCTGCTATAGTTCTGCCCCCGTCAGAGAGGGAGTCATAACCAATATGGAGTCCTTTAATACCTACAGGGTGAGACCTACAATAAATCATCTTCATTATGACCATCGTTTTCTTCTCCAGTATGTGGAGTAGAAAAGTAGCAACTAGAGTTGCTTTTGGTGTTCATCTGAGGTGTGTCTGCTTATTCTGCTTCTGTTCTCAGTATCGTTTGGAGACGTTCATGGAGTCCAGATCTACTGAATGGAGTCAGGAGCCTTACACAGGTACCCAGAAGTCAGATATAGCATGTTTATACTTTATGCTGTCTTTTGCTTTCATTTACACTTGGCCAAATCTCTGACAAATGGATACAAATCTAATCTTGCATTCCTGTACTATATACAAATCCTCCATGATTATGCAAATGCCAAGAAGGGAAATTTTGCTGCATTTAATGTGGCTCGTAATCAATAAAAGCACAAAATTTCTGAGTCACATTGCAAAAATGTCATTTGTGTTTCATTTTTTAACCATCAGCCATGGCTTTTGGAAATTTAAAGGGATAGTTCACTCAAAAATGAAACATTTCACCCTCAAGTTGTTCCAAACCTCTAAGAGTTTCTTTCTTCTGTTCAACACAAAAGAAGATGTTTTGAAGCATGTAACTAAACAGTTGACGGTAGCCATTGACTTCCATAGTAAGGTAAAAATTTTCTGTTTGGTTGCCAAAAGAACCATGTCATTCTCCCTGTGACTCTCTCTCAGGTCAGCCTGTGGATGCTGGTGTTCAACCTGCTCCAGGTCCGTGGCAGATTGCAGCTCAACCTCCGGCCTTCTTTCAAGAGCACAAGCAGACCATTAAAGTGCCCTATACTTCCTCAGTCAAGGTTTGACTTTTAACCACATGATCCACCAAAACTAAGAGAGCAGGTCCCATTCAACACACTTTAGCCACTTTTCCACCGTCTGACCGAACAGTTCTAAGAGCCGTAAAGGAACGGTATTTCCTCTTGAGCTTGGTTCGGCATGGCATGATTGCATGTAGTGTATATAGTAATGTTCACATTTAGTGACGTCAACGTAGTGATGTCTCCACTCAGAATTGGTCACTTGATTGTTGTCTGCCCACTAGTTCTCTCTCTCTCTGTAGCTGACCAAGTGCACTATTTGACTGAAGTAAATAGAAATATCTGATCATCCTCTATAACATGGTCGCTATTTACGTCTCATATCATATGTAAACACTTGCATTACCAAAGCAATGACTGATGAATTTGTATTGGAGCTCTGTTATCAGGCCCACAGTGGAAAATGAAACCGCATCCATACCCGCTGGGCCGGATCGGCATGGAATGAAACGATTAAGCATGAGAATGGTTTGGCCTGATGGTGGAAATGAAACATCAACACATTCTGCATTTCTACATGAAACATCAATACGTTCTAAAGCTTTTGACAGCATTTTATTTAATCTTCCTGAAGATCACAAGAAGTTTCACTTTAATTGTTCTGATTGTAGAACTTTTATAGAGCGCAACAGTCGAGTTCCAGAAGCAAAAGTCCCATTATTTTTCTCAATACAGTAATGAATTTTTAAACCTTTAAAGACAGATGTGCCGTGAGCTATGAGGTTGTTAATCAATGGTTTATGCTTTTGGTAAAACCATTAGCCTGCATAATTTTTTATGAAACTTATTTTAAAACTTATTTTTAAATAATCATGTTTAAATCCAGAATTCATGGTGAAGAGCTACATTACCCATGACTCTGCAAAGAAATCTCCACCAATCAGAGAATCGTGAAAAGCAAATTGCACCAAAAAAAAAACACCCACTCAGATGAAGCACTGTGAATGATCTAAAAATCCCTCTTCATTTTAAAAAAAAAAAAAAAGTATATAAGTCACATTTTCAAATACCTTTTTTTGCTTCATGCTCCAAATCGAAATTTGTAATTCTCTGATTTTTACACATTTTCATGGCTTATATCTCTTTAACATAACTTTTTTAAATCCCTATGGGACAAATGAATGGGACAAAGAAATATGTCTGGAACCAAGGCTGCTGAAAAAGTGTTTTACTCTCTAAAGTACAAATGCTTTTTGGCTTCCTGCTGCAGTCAGATCATATTTTAGAGCATTATATTCAGTTTTTACCCTTGAACTGTCACGTGTGTCAGGGAAAGGGAAAAAAACACTGTACCACCTGTGCTGGAGCTGGAAATGTAAGTAATTTTTGACTAGCACAGACCAAACCAGCTGCATGCCGGGCATTTCATTGTTCTCAAAGTTTTATTTTACAGAGAAAATGGCACTTATACTGTGTAAACTTGTGTGGTGCCTGGAGAAGAATTCAAGTTGAGTTGTATAGGAAATGTGCACACAAGCCACAGAACAGTTTTTCATTCAGTTCATATGATGTAAAATACCCTAAAATATTGTTGTCTGTGTGCAGAGGGTCTGTACGTTGTGTAATGGTTCTGGTTACCGTCAATCTGATGAACGCTGTGTGAACTGCAACGGGCGCGGATGAAAAAAGTAAGTACTTTGTGGCAGGTAGGTTTATAATTAGACCATAACATCTCTTTAAAAATTGGTGTCTCTCTAAAAAAAGTTCCTCAGGTCATGAGTTCCATGATGATTTCAGATTTAAATTATTATTTTGCTTTTTTAATTCATTACTTTTATAATGAATTAATTTAATTTATTTAGTTTCTTTTCTTTCTTTCATTTTCCCCATTTTATTAAAAAAAAATTATTTTATAAAAATTTTTATTTTCGTTGTATTTATTTATTCATTTATTGATTTTTAAATTTTATTTATTTAATTTTTTATTTTATTTATTGGTGTTGTGTTATGTTGTTACTGTGGGTTGAATTCTGATGAAATCCTGCAGGGGGCTTCAGTGGTTTGGTATTTTCTGAGTTCTGACTTATCTGGTGTCTTTCAGCTGTAGTTCATTTAGCGGCAGCGGCTCTTGCCAGTGTGACACCTGCCGTGGAAAGGGAAAGCTGCTCGTCTTCATTAACCTCAATGTTAAATGGTATGATCTACATGATATAACCAGAGGTTCAATTTGGCTGGGGCGGTCCGGGGCTGAGCCCCGGTATATTACGCTGGTAACTCATCAGGTAGGGCCCTATGATTTCCACATTGTGGAAAATGTGGACAGAATCTTGGAATCCAGTCATAAAAATTGAATTTACTGTATAAGGTGGAATGTCACAGAATTTGCCAATTTAGAATGAATAAATCAAAAATAGGTCAGAACATTTAAGTCAAATGGACCAGTGTCTGTGAATATTAAACCGCAAAAAAACTATTTAAATATGAATACTGCATGTTCTGTGTGTCTCTGTGTGAATGCATGGTGCAGACGCACAGTTTCATCTGCAACACAAACTCATTTGGCCATTTAATTTGAGAAAATCTAACGTCATATCATTTACACACACAAACATAACTCTCCACGGCAACCCGTCAAAATAAAAGTTTGGTTTAACTTGAAGAAATTATGACAGAAATATATTACCATGGTACAGTAGAATGTATGTCTTACTACTACTACTACTACTACTACTAAAATTATATGAAAACTTTATTTTTAAGGAATAATCACACAATTTGTCTTCCATATTTTAACAGTAAACCTCTGTTGTGCAGCACTTTGTTTGCCAAAAATTAAAGGGTTGGTTTAATTTTCATTTGACTAAAAGATTAATGCATAAATATAAATCATTTGATTACCAGAAAAATGTAAGTACATAACACAAAATTTCTGAAATACATAAATAAACAAACAAACATAATTTGAGAAAAAATAAACATATTTCATAGCGCCCTAAAAAATGTTTATTTTTTGCTGAACTTTTAATAAATTACTGTTTTGTTGTATAAGTTTCATGATTTCAATTAATTAGACATGCTTTTTGATTAATCAGATTTAATTTAAACATTAAAACAGAGTCCAGAAAAATTTAAACTGTAATATATATAACATTATATATTAATAATAAAATATAACATTCATGTTTGCTAAGGCAGGCATGGATATTACTATATTAACTAGCTCAGTCACTGTTTGTGCTATATACATGAATCCTGCAGTATGAGGAGAGGTTTGCTGTTATGTTTCTAAAATTAACTTTTTTACTCACCAGCCAATTTGGCTACAAAATTTTTAAGTTATCGGCCATTCATAACTTCTACCAGCCAAAAACCCCCCCGAAATAAACCAACAGCTTGAGGCTGTTTACATGACAAAGCTACTATTGCAAATCATTTTGTGTCGGTACTAGGGGTGTGCGATATTGACAAAAAATTATA